AGAGTGGTTATCCTTACCTTCCAAAAGAGACAAAATATGTGCAAACAGTAACAATAACTAACACTGGAAGTTTGTCATGAAACGGTATTAATTGAAATCCTTAAAAATAAGCTATGAAATTCATGCACATTTGATGCACAAGAAGAAGAAGAAGAAGAATGTATTTTCACTTCCAACAAAAACGTTTTTTCTAAGAAAATGAAATCTAGTGTTTTGTCTTCTGTAAAACAATCATAATTTTAGATATTTAACTGTAGAGTATGGTGGGAACGTTATCGAAAACAGTTGTTCTCTCTCTGATATTCTTTGTTCTTGAAAGAACTGAGCACTGAAGTAACTATCAATATAGATAATAGCTCAATCTATCCTAAACCATCAAATTCTTGATCGATATTTTATCAAATAAAGATCAAAATACCGAAATCAGTAAGACGAATCTATTGGAACAGTGAATGTCTAAAAAACTCGGAATATAAAACAAAATAGAATTAATAACTCGAAATCAAAACAACTTATCATATAGTGATCTTAATATTTTGATGTGGCCGGGTGTTTTCAAACATGTCGAGAGTGAGACAGTCGTTATTAGTGTGATATTGGATAATAGGCTGGAGTAAAACTCATGTACCATTGATTATGAATCCAGTGTAGTAATCGTTAAGGACAATTCCGGTAGGCTTTGAATTCGATACTTCGTGGGTTCGTACATGCACAATACTGAAGAGCTTCATAACAGGGTAAACAGCTAGCTTTCTACATTTCAATTTTAATCCTTCTCTAGTGTATTTCATGCTAGATCTTGTCTGTTCAATGAAACAATTTAACTATTAACGAGAAAGGAATGAGCTCACATGTGACACACCGTTTAACATTTATATTAAAATAAATTTGATCATTTCTTTTGATTTTTGTCATTTAATATTGATAAGTAGATGAGTAGGTAAATAAGATCGCGTTATATATTTGTAAACAAAGTAAAGTCTAACGGCTTTATATGTAATAACAGCTGTTGATAATTAGAATTTTATTCATTATTATTATTATTATTATTATTATTATTATTACTGTTATTATTATTATTATTATTATTATTATTATTATTATTCGTACTTCATTTTACATTCATTTTATAAATAAGTCCAGATAAGAAATTATCCAAACGTGTACAATAATCATTGAAGCTGTAAAGGTTTGTAATTTTCTGTTGTTGATATTCAGGACTGCAAACGATTAACTAATGTTGCTGCATATGTACAATGAAGTGATTGCTTTGATACAACCTGCAGTTACAATGGAATTCAAGAAGCGCATCTCATTTTGTCTTAAAACTTCGTTAGCCGAATGTACATGCGTTTCAGTGTTGATGTTCATACTTAAGACCCGAACCCGGTACCTTTTTCTTCAAACGCCGTTTTATCCACCAAGCTACCAAGTCCGAATACTAAATAACAACAGAAACTGATCAATTGCAGTCCTAAATATCGACAACAGGAAATTACAAACCAATACTAATCGATGAGGGTAGTTTCTACATAGCAAATCAGTTGCTAATTGACTCAAAGTTTAATGTGTTACTAAAAGGCTGGATGTTCAAACCATATCATTCTGCCTTCTAATTTGGATAGCGCACAAACTGACAGTATAAGTGTATAAATTGAGACTGAGTACATAATCCTATACTTGGATAAATGATTTCTACATTGGATTAAACTAAAAATCAGTTAAGGGATAACATGTTAAAAGTAACCTATAGTAAAGACCTATGTATGACAGCGACTAGATTTCTCGTAATATAATGCTGGTGATTTTTTAATCCAGCCATATTTAAATAAACAGTTGTATGATCTAGTCCAAGTGTCGGTTATTTCGCCTAGATTACTTACATAGGTACAATGACACATCGATGGTGAAACAACAGCCGAGAGTAACACTTAACAGCCATTGATTCATAATGCAGTTTTCCCGTGTTCGCTCACTCGGTAAGCAGTCTAGAACAATAACAGATAGTCGAACAATGAAGCGAGTATTTGAAAAAAAAGGAGTGAAGAAAAATAAAAAAACAAGGAGCAAGTAGAATAATAATGAATAAAATCGTGTATTAATGTTGATTCGGCCAGGGAAGAGACAAGAATGTTACGAATTTCTTATAAACACAAAGACTTGGATTGTTAGCTCAAATTCCTATAGCTTCTGCTATGTGTAAGAGAGGAAATCAAACCCCATAAAATCAGCTAGTATGTATACGATAAATTGCTATTTATAAACTATTTCTATGACCGCTATTGATCAAGTGTGATAAAACAGCTGTTTGTTGCTTTTATTATACCCTTTCCTAACCGCGAAGGGATCTTGTCGTATTATTAAATAAGAGAGTAAAGCCTGATGATGATCTAATTGAAAACAATATTGGCCGCCTATACATGATATTTTAATCCACTACATGGGAATTTTTAATATCTTAAAGTCACATGAAGATTGTAAGCTAGGCAAGCAGACTATAACGAGTAGTTGAATTTTCCACCTACTCATGATCACCGTCTATTTATCTTTGTCTGAATCAATCCAGTTACATAATTATTGCAGATTATAATTCAGCCTTTTGTATTAAAACTTCCTAAGGAGCCTTCTGAAGGGACTATAATCTATGGATGAACCAATGAGATTTAAGATAGCAGGTCTTGAATTTCATAGCTAAATTCTTTCATCCATAAGACTACTTAGCATTTCAACTTTATGGCTGATGTCATTTCGTGATGACAACCCTAATTCTAAATCCTAACCCTAACTCAAAACCTTAATCCTGATTCCTTAGACTCACTTCTAAGTCTCTTATGACCCAAGTAGGTAGGTAAATATTCTTATGATCAATTTAGCATCTCTCGACGGTTGTCCAAAAATTATACTCTCACCGAATTATATATTCGGATTTGAACTATATTTTTGCATGTGTGAGCTAATGAGAGTAGTTAACTGTTTAAGAGTGACTATAAAACAAAACGATGATTGAGGCTTGTCGTTAGTACTCGCCAATGATTCCACATAACATCGAACTCATTACCTATGAATCTTAAGATTAATCACTGAATTAAAATTTAATAAACCACATTGTCAATCTCATTCATTTCTCTAATTCTGTAAATTCATCCAATTTATCATTCCCATAAGCTACAATCTATTCAACTAAATCAATGTTTCTGAAAAAGTACATTCATTACATCCGAAAACGAATACTTTCTTACTGTAGAATATTTTTGTAATAAACTGAACAGGTTGAAAAGCTAACATCGAATTCTATTCATAGAATCATTTCAGGGCTATATATAATCGTTTGTTTATTACACATAAAAATTAACCAGTGTAGTATGTAATTTAACAAGTACGTAATGTTACTATTTATTACTACATTTTGTTTGTGACCTTGTATATCAATTTGTTTATATGTAGGATATCTTTTTCGGTGTGTCGTTGTGATTACTATTGAAATCTACACAAGTAACAACACAGTTTTTTTTAAACGGGAGATGTACATTATAATAAGCAAATGATTTACATATATAGATGTGCATTGATAATATTCGAGTGAATTAGTGTATTAAACAGATTTCTACAGATATAACACGAATCACTAATTAATACGATTATTTATTTCTCATCTGTACGTTGTCTTGCTGAGTGACAGGTGTATCTGATGAAAACAGTTAGCTTGACAATAGAAAAAATTAATAGACAGTAGGAATAGAATCTTTACATCTGTTCATGAGATTTACACACAGGAAAATATTAATGATTATCCCAAGATTTCATATTTGGTGCTAGATCTGAAAGTCTTAGATGTTAAATGTACTTGTACTCATGCGTTTAGTTTCTTGTTGCTAAATGTCAGTTCCTTTCTACAAAAGATAACATGGATAACATTTTTCTAACTCATATTACCTCAATGACCATTCGATTATCTAATTGGCTGTTGTAATTTTTAGTTTGCTTATTTTATGGATGTTAATTATATGAACAGAGTTGCTCCATTTCAGTTCTTATGTTCATAATATAAGGCTATTCTGAAAGTCTCGTATTCTCTTTCTGTTCAAGGTTTAAAAGAGGAAGGTTTCTATGGGCTAGAATGTAGGAATCTATGTTTAAGTTCAGAAATGATCAATGTTCTGTCTGTTTCCCCCTACTCATGATAGTTGTTGACTAATCATCAAATGTGAATAAAATCAATATATAAATGAGTATGTTCCTGATCATTTTGATTTATCTGGGAGTTAAATAAAAGTGCAACACCAGTCTTTGTTTGGTTTTCATTACGCAACGTTTGATTCGAAGTCTCACTCTCAAAAACAAGCCAGTTAAAATAACTGCGGAGTAAACAAAAGAAATTCAATGACACTAACTCTAAATCCTTAATCCTAATTACAAAAGCTCTATAGCCGAATAGATGAAAATTTATGTCACTTTCTTTTCGAATACCAAGCAAAACAACTGGTAGAATACGTCAAAAGTTTGAATAATCATGCAAAATTTGTTGATGTTTCGTGATAATACTATTTTTATTTCCACCAACAGTTTATTTAACAGGACTGTTTTCTAAATCGCTAATAACCTGCTTAAACCAACCGATGTTATTTAAAGAATCATTGTTGTATCGCATTTGAAATCTTACACTATCAACTTCTAGTTTCGATTAACAGATTGTCCGAATCTCACGCTTATGTTATATCTGATTATTGTCGGTTGCTTTTTTCTTCAATTTAAGTACATACTACACGTTCATTTAGTCGTCGGCTCACCTTTTTTCTAACACTCTCCTAGCACATAAGGTATTTTTTTGGGCCAAACTAAAACCTTACAAAGGCTGAGCGTTACACTGTAGCTCGCTACTAAACTATTACTACTAAGAATGAAAAAAATGTTTCTTGTTCTCTGTATAGTGATCATACATTTTGAGAATGTAGATAAATATCATATGGTTATAATAAGAGTTAACAACCTGGAAAACTTACTGTCGTTTATGTAAGAAAAAACTAGCAATCTGTAATGCGATTACTCCAACAATTAAAATGATTACACCAAGCCATAATAAAACACATGTTAACTTTTTATTCATTAACCACTGAAAATCTTGTAATTTCATCTCATCTGAATGTGTGCCAATCGATTCTCTTGGTACATTTGACAGTCTATAAGTATTATTAGACGATGGTAATATATCATCATTGAACTTTTCAACTAAGTCCTTTGTGCCAAGATGAAATTTATAAAAATATGGACAATTTCCGTAATTTTTAATTGTATGTGGTGGTTGTAATTGAATTTCTGGAATATATTTTGCTAACTGTGAGCAAAATGTACGTAAACGTTCATAAGGTGTTCTTATGGACATGATTATTTCGTTTGTTTGCTAAGTAGGGAACTGATAACACAAAAGATAATTTGAATTGGCTTGTTTAAATATTGTGAATTTCACCGGAAAAATTTCTACAATTGATTGATCCACTATTTAAGCTTGTTTTATTATTCAAGCTACCATAGGTAGAAATGACAAAGAAGAAATACATCAGATACTTAATGTATAAATGTTTAAGTGAATGAATAAATAATCTTTAAAATGAACAAAAAGGAAACATGTAAATTTAGGTTTCTATCCAAAACTCTTTTTCTTAATTCCTTAATTTAGCACACAATATATGTGCAGATTTGCAAATTAATAATATGATTGATTAACCGTTAGTTGATTCGAAATTACTTAGCAACCAATCAAATCTATTCTGCACAGTTTGAACAAGGATTATTTTTTAGAGAAAACGAACAAATCATGTTAGTAGTATATGTGTTTAAAATGTTGGAAGATTGAGCTGTAGTGAAACTATGTGATATTGTTAAGCCGACCACAATCACACCCATGAGTTTTAAATTTTAATGTGAAATGAGGAATGTCACTTCAGTTTGTATTCACCCTATAACTATCTTGGTAGAAGATATCTTCATTTCGAGACCCATTCCTTTAAACCAGTAAGAAAACGTCTGTTGCTTCAGCATACAGTGAATGTGAGATTGTGTAAAAGCAGATTCACGCAATATGCTTACTCCTTCTGACATATGGGACGAGCCAATAAGCATGGAGAAAAATACTCTCGAGTTCATTTTGCAAGACCAAAGAATGAATGACTATCATGGGTTTCATGTAAAATGACTCAGTAGATAACGAGTTGGGTGTTTAAAGCGAAAGGTACCAGTTTTGAAATTCAGTGCAAACATCAGGACTTGGATAAAGTCACATCCAACTGACGAGTCGTGTTCAGAACGAAACGCGTATCTTGGATTCCACTGAAGGCCACTATTCATTATTACTGAAAACTTATTACTAATTGGCAACATTGAGACGGTTCACTTAGTACATATGACAGCTCATATTGATCAAATTCAGTCCCTAACAGTTATAACCATCCTTATACCTCTAACAGCACTCAAGATCACTAAATTCATGATCAATCTCCCTCTTCAATACCTGTTATTTATCCTACGTTGACTTTCAACTCTAGAATTCCCCTTTTGACTTCTTCAAATATCACCATGGCCAACGATTCCAGTGCGCGAAATATTGTCCCAAGTCTACTGAAACCTCTCTCCAGACTACACGTTGGTGCCTTCAACGTACGTACCCTATGTCAAATCGGCCAGCGATTCTCCTTGGCTAAGACCCTACAATTTCATACCACTGATGTATGCTGTCTCCGAAACAGGCATACAGGATCCTAGTGTGGTCTTTCACTTAACCTCATCTCGCCAAAATGAGGAGCCGACGAGATACACCCTTCGTTCATCTGGCGATCAGATGGCTAGTTCGAATGGACTGACGGGTGTAGGTATAGCACTAAATACGAGGGCAGAACAAGCACTTATTGACTGGAGGTAATCAAGAGTTCCTCCAGGTCGTTTTAGAAATCACATAGTCATCCGTTCAGTCAAACTTCACATTCTTGACTTTTTCTTCACATGCTGAGATCATCTGACAAACTAATTAAGGACATTTGAGTAATAGTAACTCATCCATGGGCCCGCATTGAGTGGGGTTTCATGATCACCACGATTATGCTTGAACGCTGGATTGAATGTATGTTATTTAAGTCAGCTCGTGATGCATGCAATAAAACTGATTTATAACAGGTCGTTAAGTATCGACAGATACTTTAGTTATTCCACATGATCTATCTATCTATCTATCTATCTATCTATCTATCTATCTATCTATCTATCTATCTATCTATCTATCTATCTATCTATCTATCTATCTATCTATCTATCTATCTATCTATCTATCTATCTATCTATCTATCTATCTATCTATCTATCTATCTATCTATCTATCTATCTATCTATCTATCTATCTATCTATCTATCTATCTATCTATCTATCTATCTATCTATCTATCTATCTATCTATCTAGGAGTTATCACTGTGAGCTGTTAATCTGAGAACTAACAGTTACCCATTATTCTTTGATTCTGTTTTATCTGTGAGGTCATATTAAAATGTGCTTGCACCAAGAATGTGAGGTTCTGTGTTCAGTCTTTGATGATGCATTGTGATTTTTCCCTACTGCTGGTTTCCATAGTAGGACAAGGTAGCTTTCCTGTCCTTCCTACCTTTTAATATTTTTCTAACTAAAGTTTCTCCCTAATGTAAAACACAGATTCACCTTGTCGTTAAAAATAATTTTTATTTAAATGACAAGTGAAACTGAGAGTAACCTGAATTACTTTTAAAATTAGATATACGTAAAAGTTAGTTAGAGGGGGTTTTCAGAGTCCGATAGAATTTGCTGGTTTCTTTTATTTGGGATATCATAAAATGTTAGTAAGTGCTACATAGCTATTTCGCTGTAGTATGATATTCCTCAGCAGTGTGCACGCATGATCCAGCTAGGGGTTGAACCCACTACGTTCAGGCCTATCAACAAGAGACCGGCTTTCGGTTCACCAAGTTGGCATGTAATAGAGCTCACTGTCAGACCGGAAGTCCTTGTGTACAACCGTGGATAGGTTACATTGCTAGAGAGTTCCATAATAACTCAAAACAGCTGTTCAATGTCCTCTATTTTTCAATGATACTCAAACTGAGATCGGTCTGTGCTCAGCACAACCTACATATGTGAAAATCGGTCTAACTTCAACTTAATTCATCAGTTTGTGATTGTGACCGACCAGTGGACTTTCGAAATAGGAATCGTTTGCACAAAATATATTGTTCTGTTTTTTTTTCTTCAAATTTTTACAAGATTAAATTACAGTTACTAATCGAATAATTTAGTCAAAATTCATTGAGGTCGCATCAGTGTGTATCTGTTTTTATTTCATTATGAAAATGTTGAATAATCTGTTTGGTCTATTCTTCCTTATCTTCATCAGTTTAATCATTTCATATTCATTTTTAATTTTGCGAATATCTTCCTTTCTATCGATTTTTCATTTACGTTTATGTGTGTATACGTATGTAAATAGTGTTATCGAAAAGTGTAAAATGGGTTGAATCGAAGCACTTTATATATATGTAAAAAAATCTGTTCTTCAAGGTTATTTTAATGGGAAAGGGGGTTGTTATACGTTTTTAGAAATATCCAATTAGTAGTATATTTTCAGATTATGATGTAAAAATCTTGTGTATTTTTGATTATCAAATGTTTTTATGTAATAAATTCCAAGGTGAATTTATCTATACCTACGGGAGCAATAATAGTTTCAGGATCATTTTAAAGAATACATGCTAGATAGTACTGTATAAACACAGGAAATCATGAGCGTGAATCGTAGAGACGTCTTAAATGTTATTAATTTAGCTGTTTGGTGATTATTGATGTTCAGTGATCCTCCATATTTGAAACCCTTGAATATTCCTTCATAAAATCTTCAGAATATAGGCGAATCTCGATAATAATTTAATCAATCAGCACTTCTTAGAAATTCCCATGAGAATTCTAGAAAACAATGGATCATATATTTATTATCTTGATTACCAACAACCGAATTTATAACAACTTTAGTAAGTTTCCCATAAGCGTTTACTGTCTCGTAGTCGAATATAATTCTATCCTATCTTCAAAGCAATGCTTCTTCCATATTTCTATCCTTCTTTGCCCGGGTTCAAAAATAGAATATTTCTGGGGACTAGGAAGTGATTAAGAAGTCGGTGTTGAGGCTTTCATTACAATAAGTATCATTTCAACTGATTTCAGTTTATCAGGAATATTGGATCTTAAATGGTTCACCTTAGTTAACTGATCAGTATCGATATATGCAAATGAGCACTTGGAAATATGGTTTGAATTAACACGTATTTTTACCAAGCATATCAATGAGCCAGAAGTGATGTAGTAAAATCTGATGACCTTGGGATATTTCAAAATCTTTCGGATATTGATTTACATGATATTCGTTGATAAAAGCAGATTTGTGTATAGGGAATCGGACAAAAAATTGTTTGATTGTTAACACTTATTCAAGTATAATATACAACCTGAGTAGTACAAATAAGGTGAGAGGTTATCCACCGGTTTATACTTATTAAAAAGTATCAGCATCCCAACTAAAGTTATTTACGCAACTTCTCCTAAAGGTATATCACTTATTTTAAGAATGTTTTCGTCATAAACTTATGTAAATACGTGCAAAGAACCATTAAAATGTAAGCCGTATTGAATATGTGTTTCGTCTTCTTGTGGGACTCAACAATAATACTTGGCCAGAAATGTCAGGCCTTACGGAAAACATGATACTACTGAGCTACTAAATTTTGAAATAGAATAGTTTAGACGTTTAGCTGCAGGCAATTTATAATGTTAATATATTTGTAATACCCAATGAGTAGAAAAACTAGATTTTCTGACGTTTCGTGATTCAGTGTATGCCACTTCCTCAGAGAATAAATAACTCCATCGTCGGAAGTTTCTTACATACACTGGTAACCCATTAGTAACCTGACGTTCATTTCTTCTCGGCTTGTGTTGATGATCTTGTCTTCTTCTTTGTGGATACATACTATCGAATGAAGTCTGAATCTTCCTTCCGAACATTGACTCAGCATCAGAGAAACACTTTGATAAGGATTTTAATTATGTTTCTCAGTTTGAAGCAACCAGTCTAACTGGCTAAAGGAAATTGTGTATCATGGATTCAAAATCTTTTGGTTAGTGTAGAATCCTGAGGTTAAGCCCTGTGTTTTCAAGTCATCAGAGTTTAATCAGTAATTGCGGTTATGTTTTCGTTTATTTAGTCACACACTTGTAGATATTTTGGGATAATTTCTATCATAGAATTAATAGGAGGTGTGTCTTTTGCTATGTTGTGGTTTTTCTCCCATCATGACTGTCTGCCATACACTCGGCATATCCATAGAATGATGGAGTGGTATTTTCATCTTAGAAAACTCTACATCTTTCATGTAAGCCAGCGAAAACGATGGAGAGCAAAACACGCCCTTCATCATAGGCTGTGATTGTGTGAATGATAATTCCCGCTTCAGTTTGGTTGGCTACCACATGTAAGATTAAAATTGTAAACGAGAGTGGGGTTTATCCTCAGCCATTGTAGAATTAAACTGGTTGAATAGAAACAGCACACAATCATATAGATGTAAAATGTGTTAACATTAGAAGATATATATTTTGTATGTAATATAGGCAATTGATCTTTAAACAAACT